TAAAACTCTTTTGTCTCGATTCTTCTTCTCATTCCTCTGTGCATTTATTAATCCTGTGATTCAAAGTTGAGTACTCACTGTGTCCTAGACACTTGGCTAGGAAAATAAAGGTCATTAGACTTTGTATGATATCCTTGCCTTCTACTGGTGAATGGGTTAACTTGTGGTTTTTTTATTGAGAGCGTGCTGCGTGTCGGGCAGTGGGACAGAGCAGTACATAGAACAGACACGAATTCTAACCTTTTAAAGCCAAGGTTGAAAAAGCAGGATATAGAACACTGATAGAAAGATTAATTGTACCTTACCTTTTCTGTGCCTCAAAGAAAGTAGGCAAAGTTAAAGCTGACCTTTTAGTGGGGGAAGACACAAGGTCAGGGAATGCCCATGAAGATGCCGTATTGGCTCAGACCAGAGGGAACAGAGCTGATATGAGAATGATAGGCTCAGAATCTTCTGGAAATGGCTGGGAGGCCAATGTGGTTGGAGCAGCCTGAATAGTAGGAGATAAGGGTGGAAAGTAGCTGGAAACTGAGAAAAGGACTTTGTTTACTCCTAGTAAGATAGAAAATCTCAGGTGGGATTTGAACAGAGATGTGTTCTGACCTGACTCGGTGGTTCACTCTGCTGTGTGCTAAAGAGACTGGAGGTGTGTAGAGTGGGAGGCATGTAGACCATTAATTTGCAGGGGCAATGGTAGAGGGAGGAGAAAAGATCCTATTAACTAAAGTAAGAACACACAGAGAACATTAAGGCACGTTTAAGATGTGAATGAAACATACAGATGAGATTGTTGGGTAAGCAGTTAAGAATTGGATTTGAAATTAAGGAAAAAGTCTAAGAGATATTTGGGGATCATTCGTATATGGGTAATAAGTAAAAGTCCTCTTTCCTTTTCGCCCTCTATAATCTAGAGCCTTTCTAAGCTACCAAACCAGAGAGCAGCATCTAGAGAATAGTGAGTGAAAAGGAAAGAAGGCCAAGGTTTTAGTATTTTGTGAAGGGATGACAGAGGAAGCCATCGAAGAAAACACAAGGACATTGAGGAAGGAAGTATCTTAGATGTAGGAGATCCAGGTGGGAGCAGTCAGCCTTGTCATACGCTGTAGGGAGTGTGAGGAAGAAGAGTTTTTTGTAGAGAGATAAAGAGATGAAGCCAGGTTGAATAATTTTGAATGGTAGAGAAATTTGAAAATGAAGAGCTTGAGGTAAGTTATTTGGTCAGTGAGTTTTTCTTAAAGTCAAGGAGAGGAAGTGGAAGAATATGTGTTTATTTTGTGTTGGAGAGATCGAATGCTCTTTTAGGCCAAGGAGAAGGAGCCACTAGAAAGCAGAGGTTGAAGAAACTGTAGGAAGAACATTGATAAAAGGATTAATCAGAGCTCATGTTTTTGCCTAAAGGAAAGCAGTTAAAGTTGGGTGTAGACAGAGTTTGGGGTGTGTATGGTGGATTGGGAGTAAGGGTAGAGGGAATTAAAGCCTGTGGTTTTTTGTTTTTTTCTTTTTTCCTGAGGAGTCAGTCATTAGCTGAAAGTGTAGGGCATTGTAGAGCATAGTGGGGACAAGGGAATCTGCCACTGGTGAGGACTCAAGACCCTGTAGAGGCAGAAATGATAGATGTGTTCGTTACCAAAATTCAGCAGTTCATTGGTTCCCAGTAATCAAGGCTCCTGTGAAGAGCCCGTGATTGCATTGATTTAGGTAGAAGCAGGTACAGAGTAAGTCAGTGATGTACAGTGCTGGCTTCAGGCTGAGTCGTCAGGGAAGGGGCAGGCAAAGATGGAAAAGAGAGTGAGAAACTGTAAGTCTTATTCCTAGTTGAAGAGCAGGTGTAGAAATGGGGAGAGTGAAGGATCTGAAAATAGCAGCGTGGAGCTGTGAGGATGAGGCCTCTCTTCCAGGCACTGGTGCCGTAGGACGGTAGGAAACAGTTTTAGAGGTGTTGTCATTTTTTTAGGTAAAGTGAGGAGATGGAAAGGAAGAATTCTTTGAAAGAAGAGAAGCAGGTGAAAAAGGGAGACAGGGAGGAATGTCAGTATTGAAAGTAGGCAGGATTGAGATGGGAGGAGACCTGCAGGGACTCATGCTATAGGTGGGGAATGGTGCAGGGAGTTCAGCGGCAGTTTGGAGAGAACTGGGTGTCGAAGTTGCCCTGCAGAGGTCTACTGTCAGTGTGTTGGCCAGGCCCTGGGGATAACAGGCTGCAACACACAAAAAGAGGAAGGAGGCTGGGCG